TCCCTCTGATTTAAGCAATTTAGGTTATGGGCCAGAGATAGTGTTTATAAATATTCCACGAGATATTTCTCTACATTTCCAAACCACCTTTGCTTACACGGCCATATATGACTAGTTCAAAGCAATGAACTTTGAGAAGAGAAACGAATCACTTCCAGAATGAGGCAGGTAAAAGCATGCATGCCTCCTCCATCTCCTTTCTTCCCTGATATAAACCAGGGGATACGTGGTCACATGCTGAAATAGCAACTATTTCACAGAATGGAGGCAGCCTGGATACTAGAGTCACCAGACCGACAGGCACAGAGTCTGTCAACCTGCATCAGATTTTGAGTAATCTACAAATTCATCTGTTTCCCTGAGCTACTGAGATATCTTTCAGGATTTTCCTGTGGGGACACTTGGTGTTACCTGATTTTATTACCTGATTACCCTGATTAAAGCAGATTACGTGCAGGGAAGGCAATGCCCTGACCAGCCTACACATCATCTCAGATGGAATGATGTGCAGAGTTACACTTGCATTGACTGCATGCAGCTTTATAGTAAGAAAATTAATGTGCTGTTCAGTTGGGAGACTCAAAAGTACAAAATACTTACAATTATACTGCTCATTCCCATAAATGGAAAACTGTGCTATTATCGCAAAAGCACCGTCAAAGACAGAATTCCTTTGCAGACATGCCTTTAGCTTTTGGAAGGCGTTCAAAAGACCCATTTAAAAATAAAATATGCTAGGGTTGCCTGAGTGACTCAGTCGGTTAAGCAGTTGGCTCAGGTCATGATCCCAGGGTCATGAATCGAGTGGGCATTGCGCTCCCTGCTCAGCGGGGAGCCTGCTTGTGCTCCCAAGCACGTGCTTTTTGTCTCAGTCAAATAAACAAAATCTTTAAAAAAAAATAAAGTAAAATACATTTAAGTAATGCATTAGCACAGAAAAGAGAGGTGAAACTGCAAAACCTAACATTTATTGAACTACTACATCCTAGCCCTGAGCAATAGGTAAAAGATACAAGAAAGATATGACACTTTGTGTCCAAACTTTACGGTCTGCTAGTGAGACTAATTAATATAGGTCAAGGAAGATGAACAAAATGGTGAAAGCTCTTTAAAATAAACTATCAAGAAAGCATACTGCTTACTAATGTCTAAGGTCAGAGTAAAGTGAATAACGGAACCTAGATTGAAGCTCAGGTCTGCCTAGCTTCAAAGCCCATATTCTTTCTAAAACTCCAAACAAACAAAACAAAGACAAGAAAACACAGGAGGTGGGGAAAAAAGTGAAGAAACTCATTGCGGCATTTAAGAAACCTAAAAGTAGTCTGTGTGGGATGAATTTGGAACCAAACGTCAAAGTAGAAACAACAAAGATGACCATGATGGGTTTGGAACTTGAACTTGAATAATACAACAAACAAATATTTGGTAAGAAAATTCAGTTTAGCTAAATAGAGAACAAAGAGAAACTATCAATGAGGAGAAGTATAACTAAGTATTAACAATAAGTAAGGAGATAGCATGGTAGACACAGTCAACATAGATAATTAAATAGAGATAGAAGAACTAACTTAGGCACCTAACATTTATGAGACACCAAATATTCATGTCTGAAATCAGTTACCCATTGATTACACCCATGCCAGCCTCATGTACTGTCTGCCTGAGATATGCGATAAAAATCCATAGTTGTTCAGGAGTATATTAGCAAGTTACAGCTATAACTGGGCACACTTGCCTCTGATGATAAAGCAAGAAAGTTCCCCATCTGCTGGGGACCTTGCTCCCATTCAATAGTGGTCTTTGTAAAATCTACCGTGATCAGGAAAGATTGACGTGGTAGAGAAGATGAAAGCCAGGATAGATGAATATTATGTAACACAGGACTCAGAATATGCACCTTTCATCCCACTGAAACCCTTTCTAGATAGGTAAGCCTAGCTGATCTTTCCCTCCCTGCTTTGTGCTGCATTTTAAAGTGACTCAATAAATCTGTGACCAGAATATCTTAATATGGTTTGTGAGCCTTTCTGTACCAAGACCATAGCTCCTGCCTGCATGATGGGATAGATGTAAGGTAGCTGAGGACACTGGGTGTTGAGGCTACAGGAGTGGAGGGGCTCAAGTTAGGGACAAAGGCTAAAAGGCTCAGGATATCCTTGGAATTATTCCTAGCACCAGCAAAATTTGGAGGTGTCAGGAGGAGTGGACTGCAGGGCCCTGATGATACCAACAGAACTTGTCCATCAATTTGCCAAAGGTTTGATACCTGAACTCACCACAGACAAAATATCCAGAGCGTAAGAATCAACAGGCATGTATTCTAGGCCTCTCTTTCTCCAGCCATTAGAATATGCCAGCTCCCACTCTCAACCCACCTGCCTCAAAACATGCAGAAGCCACGTTAGACAGAACAGCAGGAGGTGCAAGAGGTCTGGAAGACTCAAGACTTTCCTGAGAGCTTGAGTCATCTCACCAAAGTGACCTTTAAAACTAGAAGAGACTAAGGCAATATTAACTGGCAGGCATGGTTCTCATTTGCCTGGGTGTGGTTTACTGAAGAAAAAATAGATGTTAATAGTGAAGAAGGTACAACTTCTTCGTAAATATGAGTAGTAATATAAATAAAATTTTGAGCCCAGTGTGGTTTTACTAGCAGCACTAGTAATATGGAAGAGATAAAAGGAATGAGGAAGAAAAAGGTGGTTAGTCAAGGGACACAGAAATGGAGTGTCTTTGAAATAGTCTGTCCCATGTCAACATATAGATGCATGCGTGCATACACACTACAAATATCTGATACTCTTTTTGTCTAAAGAACAACTATCTCTTGTGGTGAACACACACACACACACATAATGGAATATTACTCAGCTGTCAAAAAATTAAAGCTTGACCTTTGCAACAATATGGACAGAGCTAGAGGGTACTATACTAAATGAAATAAGTCAAGCAGAGAAAGACAAGTATATTATTTCACTCATATGTGGAACATAAGAAACAGAACAGAGGATCATAGGGGAAGGGAGGGTAAAACAAGACAAAATCAGAGAGGGAGACAAACCATAAGAGACTCTTAACTCTAGGAAACAAATTGAGGGTTGCTGGAGGGGAGAGGGTGGGGGATGAGGAAACTGGGTGACGGGCATTAAGGAGGGCATATGATAAAATGAGCACTGGGTGTTCTATGCAACTGATGAGTCACTGAACTCTACCTCTGAAACTAATAAGACATCATATGTTTTAATTGAATTTAAATAAAATAAAATTCTTAAAAAAACAATACCACCAATTATCTTCAGTAGCAGGATACCTGAACAGTTGCTAACATAAATGTCTAGGTAAAGAAGTCCCAAACTAAAAACAAGTATACTAGCCCCTATGTTTTATTTGATTAATTCTCACTTTTCTGCCAGAAACATTAAAAAAAAAATTTGTTCTCCAATAGCTGTGTTTTTCCAGAAACACTACACTAAATGAAAACAAACATTTGCTCCTAAGAACTGGGATAGAGCACAAAGGCTAACTAACCTAAAGTTAAAGAATGGGAAAGACCGAGAACTGCTCCTCTACTACAGTGAATAACCTTTTAAATTGTATGATTTTTATATCCACCTTAATGAAATTTTGTGTATACTTTGGATTAAAATAAGGAAAAACATAGAGTTTCCTACATGGGTCTGCTTGCATTTCAGTCAAGGTAGAGATCAATGCATGCAGGCCAAGAAATAAAGATCTAATCAGAGATGACCGCAAATCTCCTAACAAATAGGTTGCCCTGCTGCCTCACATGCCACACATTTCCAGTCCTGAAGTGTTTTATAAGACTGAGAAGATAACCACATAGACACCTGGATGCTCTAAGCCTCAGGGCTAAAAGGACCACAGACACCCAGACAAGCACACAGGATATCAAAAAGTTCTAGGCACAGAAGTGAGGGAGTTTTACCAAAAAAATTCAGTCTGTGGGACTGATATACAATCTGGTGATCATTTGGGGCATATGTGTAAAAAATTGCCCAGATATTTCTATATATATATTAGGATGCCATCCAAAGCTACAATAAATTGCAGCCATTTCTGAAACTTAAAAAAGGGGGAGGGAAGAGGTTGAACCTAATGTAATGATAGAAAAGTGAGCGGTTAAATTGATAATAAAGAATAAGATATTTCTCAGTTCATTTAGAGACAAATAACAATGCTCCCTTGGAATACAACACCAGCTTGAAATATAAGTATGCTAAATATACACGCATTTTCTACACAATGAAATAAAAATTTAAACCCCAGCATTCTGTGATATGTATGATTCACAATACCTGGCCACTGCAAAAGGTTATATATAAGCAGCAACAGAACTGCTTTTGAAATCCATTAATTCAGCCTTAGAAGTATACACATTTTCCCATGGATCTTACATCGGTGTTAGTTACTGATGCTACTACATTGTAACGACCAGAAATTTCTACAGTCAGTTAAGGATTCACAAACGTGTACCGAACAAGCTCTTTCCCGGTCACTTTCAGCAACCATGCTGAAACAGAAACTCTAGCATTACTAACTGAAAACAAAAATGTGACTAGAAGAAGGTCACACACAAACTCAGAAGGCACAAATTAATGGTTCTTTTCATTCTTTCTCCGGCTAGCCACTAGATTTTTCCAGTAACTGCTATTAAACATTCCTGTTTAACGCATTCCGAACAGCAAAGTCTGAAATGCTGGAGAGTGCTCGACTTTAAATCAAGCTGGCTGAGACGAGTAAACTCCTGCAGGCAGGCGTCTCCCTTCATCTTTTTTGGAAAGGCAAGTAGACAAAAATGCTGAAAGCTGCCCAAAACGCTGTTAAATTCCTATCTATTCAAATGGACATTAAGTAAGGAACCTTCCCCCACCTCCCAGAAAGTAAAGACAGAATCACGTAAACATCTCAGAAGCAGGAGGGCAGCAGGCCTCTCCTCAGCCCCGTGGGGTCCACAGAAGACAGGGGCGGCCTGTACTTACACAGATGGTGAGAGCGCCTGCCCCCATTCTCGCAGGAAGTGCCTGGTAGAAGTGATGAAGCCCAGAGGAGAGCATCAAAATGACAGTGAAATATGAAAATTCCATCCAGTAGATAGGCTCTCATTTGAAAACCAGCTCCGGATCCGGAGGCCTCACGGCAGGCGAAGGGCAGCTCCTAACATTTTCAGAATTGTGGTTTTGCTTCTCATTCGGCTGAACCCACGTGGCTGGCAGGACAGCCTGGAGTTGAAACCTGATCCAGAGCGTCTAGTATTGGCAAGTCCAGGATGTCATGTGACATGGGCCTTAAGTTGCTGACATCTTTTTCTTAAACCTGACTTGCCAGATACCACACACAGGCTTTCTCTGTTCAGAAAATGCCAATCACCTGGTGGCATTAACAGGATTTGGTGCAAAACGTGAAAATGCAAACTTGCTTCCTCCTTGCTACTCCTAAGAAAACCTCACATATTCACACTCAGGTTGCAATCTGCAACCTGACTTTCCTCACTTTCCTGAGGCACTTTTCACTTCCAGTGCCCCTTAGAAACCAGTGAAATTCTATCAAAATTTTCTTCCCTCCACTTTTATTCTATCAGAATTATTCTAAATGAAGATACTCATTTCATATAGCTGCTACCACTTCTAATTACTTTTGAATTATCTTATTAACATATAATGGTGATAAACATAAAACAACACGTTTCTAGACTTCCGCAATTCAACATACACATGTTGATTTATAGTCTGGAAAATTAGCCTCTAGTTGACCTTTCAATAATGTCCTACTTCATATGCTGTGTCATTAAAAAATGGGACAGACTTCACAATTTCCAAATATCTGAACTGATGGCTAAAATATCATTTTTATATAAGCCAGAAGAAAACTATTTTTTTAATCACCACTTTTTTAATCAAATCTTTTTTAGTGGCACATTTGAGAGAATGCTGGCTAACACTACATGAGGAGTTTCACTTTTCCCAATTCTAAAAGACTTAAATTGCCTCCAAAAACAAAACATAATAAAGTCATATCTTAAGGGGATGGGGTGGGAAGACAAAGGAAGCCTGGAATTAGTTCTCCATTTAATATTTCGCTTTAAATCTAGTATACTTTGTGTATGTCTAGTCAACCAAGAGTACCACCCAGAGCAAAGCCAGGACAGAAAATTGTGATAAGCAAGCTATAGGACATGACAAAGTACATTTTACTTCTATGCACGCATATAGAACATTGTAAAGATTACCTCCGCAAAGGCAGAACAACACAATCCCATACAATGGAATGGGAGTAGGGGAATGGACTTCTCCACTGAAAAATAAAACTTTTTTTCTATACCACCTAATCTAGATTTTACCATTTCTATGCACTCACTAGAAAACTAGTCTAACTGCTAAAGAAAATTATAAAACTTTTTCTAATACATTAAAAATGTGTCTCCTTTTTATGTTTATATAAGTATTATCAGTCCTTGGTGAAAAATAAAAGCCTGAAGTTTAGGTCACCTAGAGGCTCATCACCCAACATTACCCAATCAACATTTATTACCTATGCTGGGTCAGGCACTCTGCTATAGAAAATACAATGATAAAAAAGACCTAGTACCTTCTCTCATGGATCATCCAATGGGAGGAGGGAGGAATGAAAATAAGTAAATGAAACTTTTTGATTAGTAATTGCAGAGGCACTAATAAATAAGCAGAGATGAGGTACTGAAAGAGAATAAATAACAGAACACCTAGAAACGTTTAGCATATTTCCATTCTTTCATGTTTTTAAAAAAATATGATTTAAATATAGTTTCTGATAGTTTTATGTTCTGATTTTTTTCACTTAGCATTGTATCACACACAGTAGCACAAGCATGCTCCCATACTGTTAACAGTATAAACAATTATCACTTATAATATTACATTCTGTATAAAAGTTTGAGTCATTCTCCCATTTTCAGACATGTACATGGTCTCTGATTTTATGTGTGTATGTAAGTAATGCTCTATCCTCATCCTGATTATTTTCCAGTCAAGACTCCAGAAAGTGAAGTTTCTCGATCACAGAGAATATCAACGTGTGCTAAGGCTCTTGACGTAATTGACTCCGGCAGTTTACATTCTACAATTCATGCTATCCAAGTATGAATAATTTGTAAAATATTTCTTAATTTAATAGATGAAAAGGATTTCTCATTCTAAAACTTATATTTCTTTTTATTATTAAAGATAGGAAAATTCCTCATGAGTCATTTGTATTTTCTATTCTATGTGTTGCTTTGTCCATTTATCAAATGGAAACTTACCAAGTCTCTTTTATAAGTTCATTTTAAGGATTAAATGATACAATCTATAAAAAGCACTTAGTATAGTACCTGGAAAATGGTAGTAAAAGTAATAATTTGGGATGCTTATCGTATGGTTGGATTCTAGATCTATCAGGCAATTTTTTTGAAATATAGTGAAAAATGAGGATCTAAATTGGTTCAATTTTTATTTTGCATTTAACTACTGTGGCCCACACTGGTAACTCTCTCCAGTACACAATCTGATGCTATTTGAGCTTCTTCTTCCTCTTAGTTGGGGCTGAGCCCATAGTTGTGAACCCAGAGACTACATTTCCCAACCTTTCATACCAGTAGTAGGGCCATATGACCATGTACTCATTAACAGAGTGTGGAGTGGATAGGATGTGTATGACTTCTGTGTCACATGCCTCACAGGAAATCTCTTACTCCACATTTGCTCTCCTTCCTTTTCATCATATGCTGGAATGTGGGTGCACTTCCACCATGGAGAGAAGAGAATCTCAGTGGAGGAAAGCGTGAGCAGATGGAAAGGATAAGGAAAAACATAGACTCTGAAAGACCTTGTGGAGTATGGCTACATTAACAAGCCTATATCAATTAAACTCTTACATGAAAAAGAAAACTCTCAAATATGCTACTATATTTAAAAGTCCTATGTGTGTATAAAGCAATCTTTAATATACTAACCAAATGACTCTGCCCCATTTATTGGACAAGTTGTGATTCATTTCCCACGTATAATACTAAACATACTACATATTAAATTCAGATATACATACACACATATGCACAACCAGGGTCTCTCTCAGGCTAATAGATTCTATCTAGTTTCTTTCTTTCTTTCATAGTCTGTCTAGTTTTATTCCATTTCCATAATATTTGAATAACTGTATCTTTATAATTTACTTAAATAGCTGATAAAGATAGCCCTCTCTCATCTTTTTCAAAATTTTATTGTTCCCTTCCAATTTTTCATGATGGATTTCAAAACCATTCAGTAATGTTAGAACATGTTAGCGTATCAAAATATTATATCTCGTATTATTATTTCTAACACATTTAAACATCTTATTTCTGTTTTAGATAATACTACACAAGGATGACAAAAAAATCTAATCCTAATTTTCATGAGTTCTAACATACTATTATAAGGTAAAATTAGTACCATGACAAGTTTTTATCCTTATTCTTGGTAATGACTACATTTCACTGCAGAAACAAAAAAACCTAAATAGGCCATTTAACAAAAGGCACTAAAAGACATTCTTCACATCAAACAATGTTTCTCCATGAAATGTATCTGAAAATAGAGTCTCAAATATTTGAGATGCAAGTGATAGTAGAGTCGAAGTCCAGAAAGTTCTCTGAGCAGGCAAATATATATATTCCTAAGTATTGATTTACAAAGAGTCTTAAGATACATAAGCCACAAACAAAAGATTTGCTGATCTAAAATATGAACTGTGCTTCCCCCCCACCCCCCAGAACGAATAAAGGAATTGTAGAAAGTACTTTTCAGAATAGTTCGCTCTGGTGGGCTAATTCCAGGACTACTCCCAGAAATGCTGAATACCAGATCAGGACAAAGGATGTCCTATTTTCAAGATCATGGGCTCCCTGGAGGAAGAAGTCAAGGGGACTTCACAACTGATGGTCAAGTCCATAGAACGCTATCATTCAAATGATCCTCTAACCTGGGGAAGGGTGATGAAGGAAGCTAAAAAAGGCCAGGTTATCCTATAGCCTCCAAAAATCTGAAAATGCTTCAAAGTCGAGCTCTCTGATGTTAACTGGCAGAGTTATCAGTTTTCAAAAGACAGGATCTCTTCAGCTGGAGTAGCACTAACAGTTGTCAGAAGAACAGCAGTAGTCGGCAGATATAGTACTGCAGCCATTGGCAGAAACCAGCAAGTATCATGGGGTGTGGTGCTTGTGGCATTGACAGCATCACCCACCTGATGCCCACTGGAAATGGGACATTGGAGGCTTTTCGCCCTGAACTCTGTCTATACTCCAGCTTTACTTCTATCTCCGCTATATCTCCAGGAGTATCCTAGCCCGGACCGGAATCAATGTCATCCAACCACATAGGAAATCAGAAGTCACTTAGTCAACAACTATTTATTATTGATGTACTCTCTCTTGACCAGAGAGGTTCAGATATTTTGGGTTTTGATTCCTTAGGAGTATAAAACAAGAATACTTGTTCTAGGTCAGGAGTCAGCAAACTATAATTTACGAGCCTCATGTGGCCACCATAGTCTCAATCCAGCTACTCCAGACCATCTCTAGTGGCACCCATCTGTTTACATATGGATGGCTGCTTTGGTACTACAGTGGCCAAGGTTAGGAACTGCAACAGAGACTGAAATGATGGCCCTCAAGGCCTAAAACATTTACCATCTGACTATTTACAGAAAAAGTTTACTGACCCTTGCTCTGGGGTATTCTGTAACATTACTGGGCATGAGAATCCTCATGGAGCCATAGAAAGAATATCCTATGGGCCTTGGCTCCTTGAAAAACAACGGGAAGTAGGTCTTTCTTGGGTTTATTAGTCTACTTTGTTATGACTGCTCCATTACCTGGCCTTGGGGCTATTTTTACCTTCTAATTATTTTCTGAAGGATTTTCCAAAAAGAGGTCCAATTCATAATCTGATGCTCATATTTCTTTTCTGAAATCTAGATGTATTCTCATTCCATTTAAGGGAAAAAAATTACCATCCTCCCAGGAAAAGATCGATTGTTCGGCAGCCATGGTAACAAATAGCCAACATAATTTATTTTAAACCTGTTCAATCAATCAGCAACTTGCCTCCGTAAACCAAGTGGTTTTGCAAGCCAACCGACCAGTAACAGCCCAATGAAGAGAGGGCTCACTCTAGTAAGCAGGACTTCAAA